CCAGATGAATAATTGGCAATTTTCTTCTTTATGGATTCCATCTCATCACTCTATTAATTGTTTCCTTTTCTGTACATAAGGGTTTTACTCTGATATGATCCCAGTAGTCAATTATTGCCATTATTTTATGAGCTATTAGAATCATATTCAGGAAGCCATTGCCAAAGGATAGATCTTGAAGTATTTCTCCTATTATTTTCTCTACTACTTTCAAAGTGTCAAGTCTTACATTAGAATCTTTGATCCATTTCCAGTTTCTTTCTGTGCCATAGAGTGATAGAGATCTTGTTTCAGTTCTCTACATATTGATATCCAGTTTTTCCAGTACCACTTGTCAAAGAGACTGTCTTTCTTCCAATGTATGCTTTGGTCAAATGTGTTGAAATTCAGATAGATATAGTTGAATATGTTTGGTTATGGGTACTCAATTCTATTTCATCAGTCTATATATCTGTTTTTTGCAACTCCTATTCTGTTTTTGTCATTATGACTCTAGAGATAATTTTAGGTTGGCTATTGTGATGCCTCTGGCATTATATTTCTTATCTAAATTTTTGCTTGGGTGCTCTGGGGACTTTTGTGCTTTCGTGTGAATTTTATGTTTTTTTTCTAATCCTATGAAAAAAATCACTGAAATTTTGCTAAAATTTGCCTTGAATCTGCACATTGCTATTGGTGATATGGTTACTTTTGCAATATTAATTCTGCCAATCTATGAACATGGAATATCTTTCTACCTCCAAATGTCTTCTTCAGATTTTTTCTTTCATGTTTTAAAAGTCCATTATGTATATCTACTGCATTCTTAGTTATTTCTTGGAGGTTTTTTTTGTAGGCATGGATATTGTGAATGGAACTATTTTTCTGTTTTTCCTTATTGAATGTGTTATTGGTGTATGGAAAAGCTATTGACTTTTGTACATTGATTTTGTATCCTGTTGCCTTGCTAACAGTATTTGTCATATTCAAGAACTTACTAATGAAGTACTTTTGTCTTTTAAGTGTAGGATACTATCAATTATGGATAAAGAGCTATAATTTCCTCCTTTCTCATTTACATTCCTTTTTTTATTCTTTTGCTTTATTGTTATAACTAAGCGTCCAAGCAGAATGTTGGGTTAGAGTGGTGGTAGTGGACAGTCCTGCTTCATTCCTGACTTTAAGGGAAATTCTTTAATTTTTAACATTCATTTTAATCATGGCAATAATTCTATTGTATGTGGTATTTAGTCAACTGATGTATATTCTTTCTATTTCTATCTTCTGAAGATACTTTATGTGAACAGATGCTGAACTGTTTCAAAATATTTTAGCATCTTATTTTTTCTCTTAATAACCTGCTAAGTTAAATAAGTACCACCTATATATGGGTGCATACCCAAAAACTCTCTCTCTCCTGCAGCAGATATCAACTGCCAATAGCTTCTTAGTTGGAGATGGAACCTTGTGATTGCCTGTTCCGTCCATACTGGGATATTAACTGGCTTGATCTTGTCTAGGTAGTCAGAGCTACTGTGAATAGTGAGTTATATATAAAAGATAAAATTTCACAGCACTCCTCACAATACTCCAGATATTACATTCTTTCCACCTCCTCTTCAGTGATGTTCTCTGATCCTTAGCAGGGGCATAGATGTTGATAAAGACGTCTGTTATGTAGTAGTTTTCTCTGAGGTAAATTGCTAGAAGACTGACATCTCAAAGAACAGAGAATGGATTTATAATTGCAAAATTTCTGAAGTTAATGCTCTAAGATATAGTTCAGGAGAATAGTCATCTATCATGAAGACTTGGCTAGGAACTTCTCAAGTCTGTGTTGAGCTTCCTTGGGACGGCATTTTACAGAAATAGGGTCCTTTCAGGACTACTAACCTTAAAAGTCAGAATAGAAATTTGTGAAGTCTTTGACACCATTGTTTGGATGGAGTTGTTATATGCAGATGCTTCTGCATCTTTCAATGCAGGCCTCTTTCTCAGTTTGCTAACAAATGTCATCTGTGTTTTAATAACCTAAACAGTACAACTTCTCAGTCATATTTACTTTAAATATTATAATTGTAAGGGTGTAATGGGGATTAATATTTTAAAACAAACTCCAAATTGTGGCTTTTCTTGAAGGACATCTCAGTGGTTTGGGCTCTATGCATTTTCACATAAATTTTAGAATTATCTATTTAGATTCCATCAAAAAATTTTGTTGAAGTTTTTAACTAGAATTGTATTTAATCTATGACCTAAGTTGTGAAGAATAGATACATAGAAATAGTGAGTTTTCCAATTAGTTATGGCAATAGAGGTCCTGTGATTGTATATGTTTAAGATAGATCTCTGTTATTTAACATTTTGATAAAATTTGATTATCTCCTTTGTGATTGTTTTATATTTCTTTGGCAGACTTTAATTTTGTGTCCTTTTTTTACTTTTGATACCATTAAAATAAATTCTCTTTCTTTTCTGTATATGGCATATAAAGAAACACAGTTGGGTTTTTGTTGTTGTTGTTGTTGTTTACTGTGTTGGTTTTATACCAAACACCATTGCTAAACTTTATTACTTTTCACATTTCACTTGTAATGATTTTGGATTTCCCATCCTTGTAGTTATGCTGTGGGTAAATCAAAACAGTTATTCGCATCTGCTCCGTTCTTTATGCCTCATCTTTGTCTCCCCTTTTTGCCCATTCAGATGTGTGATAATGGCTTATTTTCTTTTTGTGCTACTGAGATTGTATCCAGGGCAGCATGCATTCCAGACAAGTACTCTACTACTGAGTTTGATGATCTTGCTCCTGATTTCACAGAGAAAGTCATCAATAAATCATGATTTGCTTTGACACTTAGATTATGTCACATATTACTATTTTGAAGGTTATTTGGTGGCTTCTTGATGATAGAAAAGCTGGTATCAGATTACAGTTCTCCCAACAGTAGCTGTATGATGATTTCAAAGACCAGACAGGACAGGTATGTACAGGTTTGTACAATACAAAAATCCCAGAACTCAGGGTACTGTTGAGGGGGAGTCTGATATTTTACACCCACATTGTACTCTGAACATTTGCCTATCATTGGTCCACACTAGTGTCTGAACACACCACAGAAGGCTCACTATCAAATGGCAGAGAAAAGAGAATTTGGCACTGTGTGAGCCTGGGAGACAAATGGAAACTTCATATATATATATATATATATATATATATATATATATATTTCTCTTCAATTCTTGTTCCCTGCGTTTTGGTTTGATTTTTCAGACACAGTCTTGTTATATAGCCCGTGCTAGCCTGGAACTCACTGTCTCTGCCTCCTGAGTGATGGAATTATGTACTGTACCATGATGCCTAGTCACTTTAATTGTTTAATATATTTAATTTATTGATTTTAATACTGACATACATTCCTAAGATAAATTCATTTTAGTCGCTTTACTTACTACTACATTTTTTTTTAACCATTTTCTTTTTTTTTAAGATTCTTGTGTCTATGCTTATAAATGGAATTGGCTTCTAATATTTTCTTTGTTCGGTGTCAATATCAAAGTTGTATTTGCCTCATAATTGATTAAAAGTGTGTTCCCTCTTAATATTCCTTGAAACAGTCTATGAAAGCTTGTAATAAATTTTAGTCGAACCTGTCACCTCCTAGACCTCCTCTCCTTCACCTTTTCTTCTTTACCTTCGCTTTGTTCTTCTTTCTCAGTCCAAGTCTTAATCGGACAACAAAAACTACTTTCCCTCTTTTATGAGGGCTCATTTTTCCCCCTCTGGACAATTCCTGATAGTTCATTGAACATGGTCTTATTTTTACTTATAGTTAATTTATATCTTCATCTCCTTTTCTAATTTGATCAAGATGGTGATTAATAGACAAAAATAAATAATTATAATGTGATAATGTGTCAGTATTGATGGCACATAACTGTAATTCCAGCACTTGAGAGGCTGAAGCAGGAGAATCACTGCTGAATTGTAATTCAGGCCATCCTGAACGACATACTGAGTTTAAGGCCAGCCTGCACTATGAACTAAATTCAAGGCCAGTCTAGGCTACACAGTAAGAATGTATCTCAAGAAAAGGTGATTAAGAGCTAGCAATATAAGACTTACATTTGTGATAGTAGCTGTGAACTTTTTATGAGTATGTAACATAAGCACATAAAAGAGACATTGTCTCAAAATTTAAATGGAACTACATCTGTATTCTGCTGTGTCGTGCTCCTTAAAAGTGATCCAAAGCACACACTTTTAATCCCAGCAATCAGGAGGCAGAGGGAGGCAGATCTATGTGAGTTCAGAGCCAGCCTGGTCTGCAGAGCTAGTTCCAGAACAACCAGGGCTATGCAAAGTAACCCTGTCTCAAAAAACAAACAAACAAAAACAAAAAAGGAAGGAAGGGAGGGGAAGGGGGCGGAGGGAGGGAGGAAGGAAGGAAGGAAAAAAGAAAAGAAAAGAAAAGAAAAGAAAAGAAAAGAAAAGAAAAGAGAAAAGAAAAGAAGAAAAGGAAAGAAAAGAAAAGAAAAGAAAAGAAAAGAAAAGAAAAGAAAAGAAAAGAAAAGAAAAGAAAAGAAAAGAAAAGAAAGAAAAGAAAAAGAAAAGTGACCCAAAAATTCAGCTCCAAATGCTGAGACAGTAGCACAGTGTCAGAACATTGAGTGAGCATGCAGGAGGCCCTGGATTCAGTTCCTGGCAGCAAATCCAAAGTTCAGCTCTCACACAAATGAGAGATTAGGATGATAGCCCATACTTGGAAAGACTTAGTAATTCTAAACCTTGAGAGATTAGGGAAATGTTTACAGGAAGGAAAGATTAGCCAAACAAAGGGAACTGTTAGAATATTTAACAGATATAGAAAATGTCTAATACAACTTATTAAACATCACTGTAACAAAATCACAAAATACAAGAGTGAAAATGTCAGGAGATAAGGTTAAGAGGTTAAGAATGGACATTTTCTGTAGGATGTGGCAGATTAAGTATCTGAATTTTATTTTCAAAACAGCAGTTCAATGAAGAGTTTCATTTATTAAAAATATATATGATTACATTTATGCTTTACACATATAATTTGATCTTCTGTGTGGGAAATAGTTCAGATGGGGCCATTGCTGGCTACAAAGACTGCAGACAACATACTATTGAAAGAGTGTGGCAAGGACTTAGATGAGGAGATAGATGAATTTGTAACACTTGATAGGTGACTTCTTAGAATTTCACAACAGTTGGGAGTGAAGATCAAAATAGACCTAAGAACAAAGCTCAGGTACCAGGTAGGAAAACTTAACAGGTGATGTCACTAAGTGTTAGTTTGAACAAAGAAGTGTCTCTTATCTTTTTTATATGCCTCATAAAATGCCAATAGACGTTTTCCCTATAGAAGCCCACTAAGGTAACCAGTTTTCCTTAAGGGGAGATAGAAGATCCTACAGAAAATATATAGAACAGAAACCAATTACTTTCTTTTCTTTCCTCTGTGTTCTGTAAGTAGACATTATATATTTTCTAATTTTCTACTTTATAGAATATAGTTATCATATAGACAAGTATACTGTCTTCTTGACACAACAAATGTGAGAAAATGTTTAGCAATCAAGCAATGATCTCAACTTCCTAGTAGTCATACCCTTGTGTAATCTCAAGTGGGAATCGAACTTTTGAACCAGTTCTAAGAATAACTGATGGCAGCACTTTTAGGTTAGGTTATAAAAGGTCTGTGGCTTCTATTCTGGTTGCTGTATCTCATTCTATGTCTTAGCTGTTTCATTGTGCAGGAAACTACTTATGTAAAAGTATGTGGGGCCATACTATAAGGCTTATTGTGAGAACATGCAGTGGATTCCTTTCCCACAGAGACTATAGATGACTGAAGACATGGCTGACCACTTAGTCATGATTGTGCAAAACAACAGCAACCTAATATCATTTGTTGCAGCTGCTTCCACATTCTTGATTACCTAAATCCATGAGATAATAAATGTTTTCCTGAGTAAGTACAGTGGCACATATCTGTAATTCTAATATTCAGAAGGTAGAAACAGAATGATCATGAGTTTGGTGCCAATTTGGGCTACATAGCACGTTCCAAGACAGCCTGGGCTGCATAGCAAAACCCTGTCTTTAAATCAATCAATAAACAAAACAAATGTGTATAGGTTCTTTAGCACTATATTTTGGACTAACTTGTTACACAAAAATAGATACTAATACATTTGGCTTGCTAGCAGAAATATCAGACTGAGTCAAATGTTTGATGAATAGTGATGATAAACTATTTTGTTTATTAAATTGTTAAAATAGTACCTAAACAGAACCTTATTTGGTATAGAAATAACAACATAAACATGAATACAATTATCAGCTAACACAGTGGAGATATTAGTACTTCTGGATTGGTCTATGACTATATAATTCAAAGGCTTTAAGACTGACTTAAGAAGGATAATAATCATTAGATAGTCTTTTATGGATGGATGGATAGATGGATGGATGGATGGATGGATGTAACAGAAATCAGTAAGATATTTTAACAAAGAAATTGAAATATTTCCCTTTGAAGAGAGATCCACAGAACATTCCTATTACCAAGGCCTATGTTCAAAAGGAAACAGGGTATATTACTTGTCCAGTGCATCTGACTCCAAAATTCCCTTTAGCTTGTTTCTTATGTAGAGTGAAAGTAGCATGATTTAGAGGCTAGAGACTGATTTGACAGTTGTTAAGAGTCTAACATTTAAACTTGGACCTATCTTTTGTAGAACTCAGGGCTAAATTCAGGGACTCACATATACTAAATTCAGGGGTTCACACAATACTCAGAGCTATACCCATGCCTGCAGCTATCATTGGATCTCAAGACAGCAGGGCTACAGATTCTCAGTGGTGGGCACCCCTTTAATCCCAGCACTGGGGAGGCAGAGCCAGGCGGATCTCTGTGAGTTCGAGGCCAGTCTGGGCTACCAAGTGAGTTCCAGGAAAGGCACAATGCTACACAGAGAAACCCTGTCTCGAAAAACCAAAAAAAAAAAAAAAAAACCCACATATTCTTGGCCTCTAATGTCCAAAAAATTCACCCAGGTATGTTTCACCATCTTTAAGGGATATGGCTACTGCCATCAGTTGGTGAATGATTGTCTTCTCCTTGAGATGGAGAGTTCATGACAAATATTCTCTTCCTTGGATTTAGAAGACAGGGACCCAATCAAGAAAGAGATAAGAGAAAACCAAAATGCCAGCCAGGCAGGTGATTGTTTGGGGTCTCGTACTATAGGTGTTTTGGATTTCCAGAGAGAAATAAGTCTTTTAAGCTCAGGGCAGTTGCAAGTCACAGTCCTAAGGCCTGACTGGTTTTGTCAATCTGGCAGTTCAGTGTCAGTGCAAAGGCCATCCCCAGCACCTGAGAAAAGAATTGAGAAAATGTGAGGTCTTCGTAAGAGAAAACATTTCTCCTACAGATCCCGAGATTGGTAACACAGAAAAGCAAGATTTCCATCACACTGTGACCACTCTCCAGCTTTACTCCCCTCTAAGGAATTTCTCTCTTTAAGATTAAGAATGGCATTGGAGAGAAAATGAGGACAATTATAGTATGATGGAAAAGTAGAAGGTCTTGGAGACATTTTTATCTTCTTAGGAAGGCATAGAAGCTTAGCTGTATAGTCAAGTTGTCTTTATTAAACCGTATAAGAACAATAAGTCAGCTCTGCCTTCGGGTTCATTTGCTTCCAAGCAGAGAAAAGGTTATTTAACTCTTTGTTCTTGACTAAGTCTTAAATAATGTATAACATGCCCAATACTTGGGTAGAAAATAGTGTTATGAATATCACACAACAAACAGCACAATTTTTTCCTTTCACTTGTCAAACCAAGTACAAGTACAAAGGGAAAATAATTATAATTTCAATCATTACTTCCTTCTTAACATAAAAGGTCAATTTTTCAAGTGAGCTGTTTTATCATAATCTTTTCCAGACCAGCTAAGTGAGTGACTAATGTGACATTCTGCTTAGCACTCTTAATTTGACTTTGACTCATTCATATATATCAGGGATACATGTATTTGATGTTTTCTTATAACAAATTTTCTGCATGTTTTAAGTTGAATTGATAATATAATCATTTGTTCCTTGGCTAGAGGAAGTCATGACATTTACTGCCTCATTCTACTTTCCCAGCACTGTTCTAAGACTGCATGTCTTAATTCCTTTAATCCTTACAGGGGTTCTGGGGTTAATCTCTTACCTGTATCACACATACACAGATGGTAATGATTCCAATATACAAGAAATTGGAGTGAAACCACGATTTTGCTTTATTATAGCAACCCTAGGGGAAAAATTACAGGCATAAATGATATCATTCAACATGTCAACCTTATCAGAGAGATTATCTGGAGTGGTAACTTGTCTTTATTTACAGAGACTGTAAATATTATAATACAGAGACTGATTTCAGATGTTACATTTTTACTTTCCTTGAATGTTTAAAGAGACAAGCATAATGTAGAGAACATTTAGTCAGAATCAAATAACAGGAACATTGCCAACAAAATTACCTGAACATCTGCACCTGGTGGGCAGGAAGATGGTGGACCACTAGTCCAATCACTTGAACCGTTTACACCACAACACTGCAACTAAAAGACAAGTCCCCAAATATTATAATATAAAATCAACAGGAAAACAAAACAAACAAGCAAAACACCCACCAAAATTTATACAAAAGGTATGCCTGTCATTCAAATCTGACTCTAGAGAAGAAAATTCAGAATTGGTCTACTGCTAGACTCTTTGGAACTAAATGTTCACAAGACTATTATACCATTTTATTCACAGAAGACCTCTATGAAATACAAAGGGCATGTATGGTTTGTATTTTTACCTATCAAGTACTTTTTGCCTTATAGCACAGTACTGAGGCTAACCACATTGATTCTTGAGATTATTGAAATCATGACATTTAGATACCTGCTTTAATGAGAAAACAGGAATGGTGGTTTTTACATATAGGAGAAACTAATGATCCAGCTATACCACTCTTGGACATACAACCAAAGGACTCTATCCTAGTAAAGACAGCTGCTCATCCATTTTTATTGCTATTCTACTCACAGTAGCCAGAAAATGGAAACAGTTTAAATGTCCATCAACTGATGAATGGATGAATGAATATTAAAAATGTCATACATGTATACAATGAAATTTTATCTAGTTCTTAAGAAAAATTAAGTTAAGAAAATTTCAAGTAAATGGATGGAGATGGAAACAATCATCTTGCGTAAGATAACCTAGACTCAGAAAACAAATATCATGTTTTCTCTATCATGCTAATTTTGAATATTTAGATTATTTGTTTAAATTGGAGTATAAATAGAAACTAGTGAAGGGGAAGGGGAATGCTCTCAATAAAGGAGATAGAATTCTATCATATAAAGGAGAAAAATTGAAGAAGAATAGTTACATGAGTTGGAGGATAGCAGGGCAGAATAAAGGATAGAATTCTAGGAAGGGCAACTAACACTAAAGAGCTTTGGAAAAAAGCCATATGGAAAAATATATGTATATATTTATAGAACCTTCTATCATAGTATGTTTCAATATATATGTATGTTATATATATATATTAACAAATTTAAATGAGGTTACCCTATAACTGAACAATAATGTCCCTACTAGACCTCAGACTAACAAATTTACCTTTGTTGGAGTTGTTGGCCATTGAGATCCTATAGACCTATAAATATTACAAGCTATTGCCAATACCTCTGGTTACCTTCCAGAACTTGGTCATAAGACCCTATTGCTGAAACCACCACATACATAGTCATGGAACATGAAGAGATCAAGCTGGATTGATTTGGAAACTTGATACCTACTGGCTAGATTTCATAGTGTTGGTAGGTTCTGTGTAAGCTACAAGAGGAGAAAAGTAGTCACAAATCTTACAGAGTTGTGAACCTAAGAGCTATAGTAATGATCAGCCTAGCAAGATATTACTGCTGGAGCTATCATGAAACAGATGTTGTGGATAAAAAACCAATAACTTCCTGCTTGGACTTAAAGCACCTTACATAATGGGACAAATACCTGGAACCAGTTGGAGGACAAACAATTTCTGATTACATAGGTTATAGGCCCTTGGGGAGAACCTACTAGTATTATTTTGCTAAATGGACATAATATCAAATCAATTTATAATGACTTTTTACTATATGCATAGATGAGTGCATCACTTAAGCATCATCAGGGAAGCTTCTTTCTTTAGGAGATGGTGATTAACACAGAGACCCACAACTGGTCAATGTGTAGAGAATAAGAGACTATGGGTTACTCAGCCTTAAAGTGGCATACCATCTCTTCCCAAGGTCAAGGAGTCTATGTGAAGAGTGGGCAGAAAGGTGTAAGAGCTAGAGGTGGTGGCTGACTATAAGGAAACAGCATTCCCTGGACACAACAGGGCAGTTTCACATAGGAACTCAAAGTGATTATGGCAGCATTCACAAAAACAGAACAAGAACAAAGGGTAGAATGGTCAGGAAGTCCCATACTAGCTCAAGAGTTACTGACAATTGATTATTGCTGAAAGGAGATCCACTTTTTAAGGGTATAACCACTGGCAGGTGACCTACACTCCTATGGGATGACCTCACCCAAAAGTATATAGGTATCACTAACTGAGCTCAGTGGGTTAATAAATAAAATAAGGAAACAAAGTGAGTAGGGAAGTGGGGGCAGTTCTGGAAGAGTTTAGGGGTTAATATGATCAGAATATATTGTATGAAATTCTCAATAAAAAAGTATTATTTTAAAAGAAGAGAGAGAAGGAGAGAGTGAGACTTCATCAAACTTCTAGATTCACAGTATCTCTAGGAAACAGATTTCCTGCCATCAAAATACTCTGGGAATAAACCAGTCAGATACAGAAAATGGGGAAATCTATAGGACAAATAACCTAATTTTGTTCACATACATGTAATATAAAGAAGTAGGATGCTGTGATAGAGTAAAGGAAATCTGGAAACATTTCATCCAAATGTAACATTTGGATCTTCTTGGGTCTCAATTTGTTCAAATCAGTTGAATTTTTTTTTGAGAAAATTAGAATAATTGGAATATAGACTGTTAGTGATATTTGAAGAATTATTTATTAATTTGAATGAGGGGGGCGTGTCTGTATGTTTTACTACACGCACGCAGGAACATGTGGAAGCAGGAAAGGGTTTCAGATCCTTTGAAATTGGAGTTCCAGGATTTATGAGCCACCAGGTAGGTGCTATAACAAAACCCAGATCCCACTGGGAAGTGGTGGCGCGCACCTTTAATCCCAGCACTCGGGAGGCAGAGCCAGGCAGATCTCTGTGAGTTCCAGGCCAGCCTGGTCTACAGAGTGAGATCTAGGACAGGCACCAAAACTACACGGAGAAACCCTGTCTTGAAAAAACAAAAACAAAACAAAACCCAGATCCCCCAGCAAATCAATAAGTGCTCTTAACCACTGAACCAAACTCTTTAGTGATATTTAATGGGTGAGATGATATAAGGTTCAGCATTTTATTTCCTTTAGAATATTCCAGCCAATTGTTTATGGGATTGAATGAGGTGTCAGTGGCAAAATGTATATGAAGCTGGTGACATGTGTCAAGAGATTTATTTTGTTTTGTTTTTCCTTTGTTATGTGTCTGGACATGAAAAGGGACTTCTGAATTGAAACAAATGAGGAATGTGAAATCTAAAGAGGTTGTGATTTCTCCAAGTCCTCCCATTCTTGTTTTTATGTAGTTATTTCCTATGTTACTTTTGTCTATTCCATATTAATCCGCCATGCGTGATGATGGTACTCTTTGGACATGTCATGACTGTGCAAGGCTGTCTAGTCCATATTTGTCTCCTAACACTCTAAGGAAAGAGTGCAAAATTGACACATGTCTGTGCAAAGGAAGAAGCATGAGCAATGTGACACTAGAGGAATAGGTAAAAAATATAGTAATTTTGGTGACTCAGGAATTTAAAAGGTTTCTTGTGGTGATATTATGTTCCCCCAAATTTTGTGCACCATAATAAACTTATCTGGGGTTAGAGAACAGAACAGCCACTAGATATAGAAGCCAGAAAATGGTGCCACACATGCCTTTAATTCTATCACTTGGGAGGCAGAGATCCATCCGGATTTCTGTGAGTTTAAAGCTACACTGGAAACAGCCAGGCATGGTGACTCACCCCATTAATCCCAAGAAGTGAGACTTTAATCCCAGGGAGTGAAGGCAGAAAGCAGAAAGGTATTTAAGGCGTAAGGACCAGGAACTAGGGCTGGTTAAGCTTTTAGGCTTTGAGCAGCACAGTTCATCTGAGATCCATTTAGATGAGGACTCAGATGCTTCCAGTCTGAGGAAACAGGATCAGCTGAGAAGGTGGCCAGGTGAGGTTAGCTGTGGCCTGTTCTTTCTCTCTGATCTTCCAGTGTTCACCCCAATACCTAGGTCCGGGTTTGATTTTATTAGTAAGACTCTTTAAGATTCATGCTACAGTTTCTTTTATTCTACTGCTATTTTAATAACATTTTGCAAAATATATAAACTAATCCAATATGTTTTGGGTTTTCTTTTCATCCTGTTAGGGCTAAGGCAATGACCTTATGTGAGTTGGTAAAGAATGAAATAGAATGTAGAAAAATTTGTACCAGTTGAATTAATCCCTATACTCCACTGCCTGTGAGAGGACAGATGCTCCTTTGGACTTGAGAACTAAAGATCTTTGAGCCTGAAACCTTTAGGAAAGAGACACTTGTTTCTAGAGACTAATGCTGGGAATTCAGTCTGACACACCTGAGCAGGATTCTTTATATACTTACATGTGACTGGATGAAGTCCCATGCCGCCATGGTGTTGTTGTCTGAGTGATAATGTTGAATGCTGTCATTCAGGCCCTCAGCCACATACGTGTTCAGCTGGGGTAAATCATAGTCCACCATGGAAGACATAGTTAAAACAAGATGGATTCAAGAAATAAGAGATTTCTAGTGGAGCAAATATATCCCCCCACCCAAGGAGTCAGAACTAGGGAAGTGAGATGAGGGAGGTTATGTGGGAAGACAAGCTGAAGGTTTATACAGTTTTGAAGGAAGATATCCATGACATTTATACTTCCAAAACTATAGTTACAAAGGAAGGTACAACCAAAGCCAAGGTCAAACATTACTGAGAAGACTGCCAGCTCCATAGAGAGAGGTAGGCAGGAAAAAGACAAGCTTGCTTCATTTTCTCTCCAGTTATCTTTCAAGGTATCATTCAAATACAACCTTAATGACATTTTTTCTCTTCTCAACTGCAGTTAATCTCTCATCCTCCTACTTCATTTGTATGACTTACTACTAAGTTTGCTTTACTAACTTCTCTGCAGTGTATTCCCCATCTCAGCAATAAGAGAGCAAGCCATGTTCTTCATAACTTACCTTTTGTTCATACACAAAGAGCAGGATGGCTAAGGTCACCTCAGCAAGGAGAATAATCATCAGCAGAACAAAGAACTGTGACAAACCAGAGACATTATCAGAACATTGATTCTACTTTCTGATTTACCTCTCTCTACCTCAAGAGCAAACAGGTCTACACACATGTGCATATACATGCACACATACACACACACACACACACACACACACACACACACACACACACACACACACACACAATCATGCATGGAAACTGTTCCTGCCTCCTTGGGGCTTCCTAAGCCCTCTCCTGTTTTGTGGATAGTATGTGTTCCTTTCCTGCAGCTGGACTCTAGAAGGCATATTAACTACCCTCTAACTTTGTTCTAACATTGTTGAATTGGTGTTTTAGCATAAGCCTAGTGAAACAGCTGCTCAAAAAGCCAGACAATCCAAGCACAAGCTTGGGTCCTGGTCCCATACATCAGATCAAGTCTAACTCAAGAAAGAGGTGGATGATGGTGAAGCTGGAGAGGGAGCCTAATCATAGTTATAAGTCAGTTTTATCTCCAAATTTAGAATTTTAATCCCTGCATGACATTTATACAAAAAAAACTTCCACAATTTCATTTGTTCTTCACCTTAAAAAAAAAACCTTAAACACCAATTTTGACTGCTTACATCACTAGTCCTGTCTCTGATATTTCCTATCATTTTCTATCTGTCTGAAAACTGCCTGATAACACTTATTTTTAAATTATTATTATTATTATTATTATTATTATTGATCTTAGCTCTAGTTTAAATGTTGATCTGCAATAGAATGTTGATCACATGACTTAAGGGATTACTAAGATGGTAACACATAAGAATGGAAGCATTGTTTTATGATCTTTTTTTTGAGACAGGGTTTCTCTGTATAGTTTTGGTGCCTGTCCTGGATCTTGCTCTGTAGCCCAGGCTGGCCTCGAACTAATAGAGATCCGCCTGGCTCTGCCTCCTGAGTGCTGGGATTAAAGGCGTGGGGCACCACCACCTGGCTTACGGATGGAAGCATTGTTATAGCAATCTCTGTCCTTACTATACTAGGAAAATTGTATCTCTTCTACTCCAATTTTATTAGGCAAAGTCTAAGCCTGACAGTACTCCTCAGGCTGGTTATTTGACAGGGAACTGCTGAAAATCTCTTCCATTTCTAGTAGTCAAGGAATTCAGCCAAGGTCCTTACCTGAATTGTGTCACTCCTACTATGAAGGCTGCTTTGTGCATGAATTAAAGAAGAATTCTACATCATTAGGGAGGGTTGCCATGTTCAGAAGAACCTACTAATTATTTTTTCATCAATTAATTACTATGTGTCAGATATTGAAGCATGTTCTTATATAAGGATTTAGACAGAAAGTTGATAACTAATTTCAAGCAGACATCGAGGAAAAGTATTATGCTGCAGGACATGACAGTGACAAGGGACGTTATTGACCGTTTAAAATGGACACTACAGATAACAGTCATGTCTTCTTCTACATATCCTTGGGGTCCCAGTGAGAAACAAACTAACATTGGTGTATAAAATCTTGGCTGATAAGTGATACTATGATGGTTAGCTTTAATTATCAACTTGACAACCTAGAATAAACTGGCAATTCCTCAATAAACTTGCAGCAGAATCTGAAAATGTAACAGCCATCCATGTGGTACTAGTGGTCATGGAGAGCAACTGAGTACTGGAACTCTTTGGCAGGGTCAGATCATCTGCAGAGAGGCCACTAGTGAATGTGATGGCTCAGTTATAATGGAGACCCCAGGACATTGAAAATGCTATGCCCATAGGACATTGACAAAGGAGACCGATGTGGAACTGGCCTACTCCCAACAAAGAATCTGTATGTGCTACAAGCAACATAATTGGAGGGGGTGGGCCTACCAAAGTTGTTTGGAGCCCAGAATACAAGACTCATCAGCTAGACATTGGAGCTACAAGATTTGGTCTATATACTGCTGATTTTTTTAAAATAATTTCTTTTGTTTTTTGAAGTTATAATTACATCATTTCCCCCTTTTATTTCCTTCCTCCAAACTTTCCCATATACTTCTTCTTGCTCTTTTTCAAATTCCTATCCTTTTTTCATTAATTATAGATATATTCCTAAATACAACCTGCTTCTGGTTTTTGTTGTTGTTGTTGTTTTGGCATGGTTGTTATTATGTCCTGTTTCTTCTATTTCAAAATAACAATCCTTACAGATGTAACTTCTTTTTATTTTACAGGTGCTCACAGTTAAAAGACCTTGGACTTTGAAGTCTTAGAAATTTTGTAAGGCTTTAGGGGATTTCTGGAATTGGACTGTGTTTTATATTCTGGTATTCACATGAGACATATGGTACAAAGGATAGAAAGTTATGGCTCAAAGTGATATACATATAATTGACAAGTAATGGACTGTGTTGGTTAGTTTTTATTGTAAACTTGACACAACCTAGAATCATCTGGGAAAAGAACTTTAATTGAGGTTATTATCTATGTCAGGTTGGCCTGTGGGGATGTCTGTCAGGGGTTGTGTTTGTCTTGGCTGTATGGGAGGGTCCAACTTACTGTGGGTGTACTATTCCATAGACTGTCATCTGGCTTATAAAAGAATGAAACAGTAAGCGGGTAAGAAAAAGTCTTGTGTTTATTCCCTCTCTGCTCTTTTTTTCCAAGACAGGGTTTCTTTGTGTAGCCCTGGCTGTCCTGGAACTTAATCTGTAAACCAGGCGGACCTCGAACTCAGAGATCCCTGTGCCTCTGCCTCTTGAGTGCTGGGACTAAAGGCAAGTGCCACCACCACCTTCCTGTCCCTCTCTGCTCTTTAATTGTATACGTCATCCAAAAGTAACCTAACATGAAATGTGTCACCCTAGACTTGAGATACCATCTCCCCCAGCTCAGACTATCCCAGCTGCTGCAAGGACTCACCGACATAAGCAGGCACTTGTTTTCCTTGATTGAGCCCATGCAGCCCAAGAAGGCAACTACCATGATAATGGAGCCCACGATGACGAGAACATTGCCCAGTGTCAGGAAGGGCAGGTTACGGAAGAGCACTCCATAGGTGTTTTGGACCAGGAGGTAGATACCAAAGCCCAAAATGCAACAGCCACAGACCTAAAAGGAAGAATTCCATAGCATTCTAAGGTGAACATAGTTCTTAAGTATCTCCTAATTTATATTCTCACATCCTGGAGATCAGAATCATGTTTTTGTTGACTCACTCGAGACTCACCTCTTTACTCAGTTTCCACACTATCACTTAGAAAGGAAATACCAGCTTCTGCATATGGAGTCACACTTATATCTCTTATTACACATATCCAGATACCAAGGAAATGTCATCCTTATGAAGGACCTAATACCTTCACTATATCTAAGTCTAACTTTATACTTCAGATGTTCTATCTCTTGTCTGCTCAGTTGTCCACTCATGGACTTTTCTTAGGAGAGTACGACCACATAGAGATAATGCTCTGTTTGAGGAAGTTTGTCTTGATAGGCAGACTACTAGAGAAGTCAAATTTATAGGAATATTCTCATAAACATATGAATACTGATTCATCTTATATATGAAATGCAGCTGCTGAATTTAATATAGTGAAAGCTCATTGGACATCTCTTTTTTCGTGTTAAATTACCAAACATGGACACATGTGTCTGCAACTTTATGTTTTTATTAATCCATATTATACAAAATAATTTATTGTTGTATTTCTACATATCAAGCATACAGTGTAGTTTGATAATATTCACTGCTCTATTAATATTTATTATATGTTTTTTCTTCTTCATTTTTTCCTTCCAGCTAGTCTCCTTTTAGTTAAATGCATTTCTTTTTTTTTTTCTTAGCTTCAGCATATGAAGGAGAAGATGCAATCCTTTTCTATGTGGTACTGACTTACTTCACTCAAAGTAACCTCAAATTCCATCTACTTCATCCTTCTCGGGGGTTAAGTCAAGCTCTATTGTGTAGATACACCACATATCCTTTATCCTCTGTTGATGGATGTCTAGTCTGCATCAACAATTTAGCTATTGTGAATGATCCTACGAAAAGCACAGATGTTCAAGTATCTTTGTAGAAAGGTGATTATGATTCTTTTAGAGACAAAATGAGGAGTAACATGACTAGATTATATGGAAGTCCAAAACTTGAAGAAAAAGAGAACAAAAAATCCAGTCAACAAATGAACAATGGAAATAAGCAGATGGGTTTTTTTTAAAAAAATGAAGTGCCAATAAATAAATATATTTAAAAGGTGTTCAATATCTTTAGCTATCAAATCTTATGTGGAGATTCCATTTCATCCCATCAGAATGGTTGTCATAAAGAAAACTATCAACAAAAAATGCTGACCAGGATGACAGAAAAAAAGAAGGCCTTTCACACTATTGGTGAGAGCACAAATTAGCCTAGATACTACAGAAATCATCACGGAGGTTCATTTTGAAAATTTAAAAAAAAATAGAACTTCCATATGATTTCTCTGTCTGTCAATATTCTTCCATGGGGTCAGGGATGAGGAGAGTGTAGATTTAACACCCAAATTGTAGTCCATTTTTCACTTATAAATGCCAGCAATTTGCAATGCTACCCGAGAGCCCCCCAAGAGAATTGGCACCTCCATTATTAAGTGCACTGATACCTTTTAATTTTGTAGGCTTATAGTATGACAAAATGGCAGGAAGTGAGGAAATTATTACCTCTTTGTACCTACATGAAATGTTCTGAACAGTACCAAAGTGTGCACAGTTCACATTCTATACTCTATTCTTTGGTTGAGAAGAAAGGACAGGTTAGCTGGGATGAAGGGGTGTTATTTGAGATATGTTCAAAGGAGATACTTACCCAAAAGAGCAAGTTAAAGATAAATAGGACATATTTCAGCAATTTCAGGCTGCTCATGCCCATGCTGGGATAGTATGACCTAAAAATCACAAGGAATAAGAAAGGAATTTTTAAAAGGATTTGGCAATATAAGGTAGCACAACAGACTCCAAAATGCAAGTGTTTAGGGTTCAAGGATTATCACCATTATCTTGTGTTTGAACTATTTATGTCTCTGGAAAATTTCCCCAAATATCTGCTTTCATACTTTGAAAATTGAAGCCCAGGTTGAAAAACCATCATCTTGAACACTGAATGTTACTCCAATTCAGTAAGCAATGTTTGGTGTTGCGTGACACCATGACCCAACAATAGAGCTCTTCTAACAAGAAGATGAGCCACAGTGACACAGACAAAGTCAGTGCTTTTGGTCCTGTGTGACGTTAGTGACTAATGTCTGGCTACTCAAGAAACAGCCTTTGAGATCAAGACTGGCTGATCAATGTGCAGGACAGAAAGCCAGTGACTTGATCAGCCAGTTTCTTAACTGTCTTAAGATTCATTACTAACCAAATTTGTTGTTGTTGTTTATTTTTGTGACCATGGTTTAATTACAACATCTCTTCCTTCCCTTTCATTCCTCCAAACCTTCCTATATACCCCTCCCCACTCTCCTTCAAATCTGTGGCTTCTTTTTTCAACAGTTGTTATTGAATGGTCTATAAACCTCTCCAGATAAAAGTGGAAAGTAATGCACATATTCCTCATTGGTCCTTTTATGCACAATTATCTATGATATTTCTCTTCTAGATATGGCCATGGCTAAGTATTAGACATCTTCCAATAGATGCTGATCTTTAGCAGAAATGAAACACACAAATATATAATGAGGAAGTTAAAAGAGACCAAAATATGAGCACAGTCTTTTAAGTGAGGCTATAATTTCTTTTTTAGCAAAGATACTGCTGTGTGAATTATATGATGTATTACATAGTATGTGCATCTATGTGTGGGTAAGCACCAGAAGGGTAAATAAGGTGTCCAGCTCTATCACTCTGATTCATTCACTTAGACAGGAAGATACACACAGAGAGCATGAAAAGGAAGAGAAACAGATGAGGGAAGGAGGGAGGGAGGGAGAGAGGGGGAAGGGAAAGAGAGAAACAGAGACAGAGAGACAGAGACAGAGAGAGAATTATGTCTAGACAATGCCTATCTAAATAAACTAGTGTAATCTCTCATTTCAAGACATGAATATGATGGCAAATGCCTATAATCCAAGTGCTGGGGAGGCTTAGGCTTAGGCTGCTAAGTTAAAACTGCAATGGCTGAGATACAAATATACTGGATGTATTCATGGCAGTTAGTAAATAAGGAAAAAAATTGGTGAACTTTAAGGTAGTAAGAAAAAATACCCAAAAAAGGACATACAAACAAATATTTAAATGAATAGAGCATCTCTAAATGAAATAATGTTGATATCATATTTGACATGTAATGGGAGTCCCCAAAGGAAGGGAGAAAAATACTTGAAGAATTAATACCTGTAAGAAATTCTGAACAAGATTATAATAATTTGGTCACACGACAAAGAGAATCAATGAAATCCAAAAATAAGAAATTTATACTTACAGTAAAACTATAATAAATTACCCAATCAATAATAAAAACAAAATCTTTAAATAGCCAAAGGAAACAAAACATGTTAGACACAAAATAGCTAATATAAAGATAAGAATGGAAAGATAAGAATGGACATATCAGAAAACAGTCAATCCAGGAGAGACTGAAATTACATGTTTAAAATAATAAAATACACCAAAAAATGACCTCTTGATTTTATAATCAATAAAAATATATTTGGAAAAACTAAGAAAAAATAAAGAATATAATATACATATGAGATTTGTTCATAATATTCATAAGATGGAACTATAAAATGTACAAAAACTAAGGGAATTTCTCTTCAACAGATCCACACTACAAGAAATATTCAGGGAAATTCTCCAGGCAAATTGTTAGAGCTTAGGCAAGACCAAGACTACTGCATAGATAAGTAGACCATGTTTTCTTGTTAGTTGTGATTTAGATCTTAAATGGCTGCTAAAAACCCACGTGTTAAATGAAAATTTGGTCCCAGCTGACAGTACTATCAAAAGGTGGTAGATTCTTGTGCTATCTAAAGGTGATAGGTTCTTTAGAGGTACAGCCTGTGATAGTACTATCAAAAGGTGGTAGATTCTTGTGCTATCTAAAGGTGATAGGTTCTTTAGAGGTGCAGCCTGTTTGAAAGATATAGGCCACTGGGAGCATACCACTGCAGGGTGTATCCTTCTATATCTCTCCTCTCTCCCTCTGTTGCTCCTCTTTCTCCATCTCCCTCTTTCTTTCTCAGCCATATGAGAAGAATACTTTTGCTCTGCTCTGTGCTCTTACCACAACGTTTGAGCCTTGGAACACACCCAAAATAGTGGGATCAGTGATCACACATTGCATCCTTTGAAACTATGATTAAAAGTGAATTTTTCCTCTTTTAAGTTGATTTCCTAAGGATTTTTTTTGTCACAATAATGAAAAGTTAATTTCACATTATTTAAATATATTAAATAAACACTGAACTGTGAACAACAGTATTTATGAGATTAAAAATAAATGTAAAAGGGAAGTTTGTAATAACAGTAACACTGAGTCTGGGAAGGAAAACAAATGAAAATTCTTGTATTGGAAGTATAGTATCATTAACTCACAGCAACTGTGGTTACACGCATTGGAGCCCTCCATAAAATGGCAGCATGAACTCAGGACAGTTCATAAGGCCCAGGAGCTACCAGCACTTGCTGAGTTCTGGGAAGTAGACTGGGAGAATCAAACGTTTTGTTTTGTTTTGTTTTCTGGTTTTTCTTTTTCTTTTTTCTTTCTTTTTTTTTTTTTTTTTTGGAAGTATGGCGACTGGCCAGTTGCCAATGATCTAATAGATGCCCCACACCAATGCAACCCATGGGCAGCATTGATTGAACTCAGGCTTATAAAAAAAAATAAGGACACAAAGTTGGGAGTGAAATGTTTTGGAGGGTTTGGCGGTAGTTAGAAGGACATTGGAGGTGGATATGGTCAAAATACATTATTTACATCCACAAAAATTGCCAGAGAATACATAGAAATAATATCTTAAATAAATAGTTATAAATTGACAGTTCATCTGGGAAGGAGGAAGGGAAGTAAATACAGAAGGAAAAGGTGGGATGAGGAACAGAGGTGGCACATGCTATAATCCCAACATTTGCTTGCAAACAACACATGAGGACAGAGGTGGAAAGATTGTCACATGTTCCAGGCCAACCCAGGGTTTATAGTTAGAGCTTAAAAAATACAAAAATATCTGGAGTAGGATAGCAGGTTTGGGGGCATATGCCAAGGAGTTGGATTTCATTCCTGCCCTATTTACAATAGCTAGATCTTCCTTCCCCTTCTCACCTGCCTCTTCCTACTTGCTGCTTTGTCTCAGATCCCAACCTAAAGAGTTACCCACTGCTGACCAAAGGTTGCTCCTCCCAGGACAGTAAGTAGGCCAAAGGCAAGCCCACACCTCTTCTACTGCTCCTGAGATTGAACATCCCAGTCTCATCCCAGCTCTACAGCTGGAATCCTGGTATGGTCTCCCTTTCATCTCTGGCCCCATCCCCAATAGATCACAATGACATTCTCCTCCAACCTTCATTCCCTCAACTCATCCCAGTGTCCCAGCCTCCAACACCAGAAGATATTTGCTGTGAATACACCGACTAAGCAGACCAGGAAATTAGGCAATGCATAGCCATTACACACTCTGGAAATGCAGAGAGGAAACAGAAGCTAACACCCACCCAACAATGGCAAATCTAGAAATCAGCACCTAGAATTATAATCGTTCCAAATTCAGATAATTGGATGCCAGCTTAAAAACACAATCGGCAACAGCCAGAGCAGTATGTCTCCACTAGAGTCCAGCTATATTAACACAGTGGGACCTAAATATGCCAACATAGCTGACACACAAGAAAAAGACCTTAAAACAGCTTTTATGAATATGATAAAAGTCCTTAAGGAGGAAATGAATAAATCCCTTAAAGAAATCCAGGAAAACACAAACAGTGGAAGGAAATGAGTAAAACTATTAAAGCCTAAAATTGGAAATAGAATCAATAAAGAAAACTCAAACTGAATGAATTCTGGAAATGAAAAATTTAGGAATTTGAACAGGAACTACAGAGACAAGTTTCAACAACATAATGTAAGAGATTGAAAAGAGAATCTCAGGCATTGAAGATACGAAAGAAGAAATGGATACATCTGTCAAATAAAATGCTAAATCTAAAAATCTCCTGACACAAAACATCCAAGAAATCTGGGACACTATGAAAAGACTAAACCCAAGAATAATAGGTATAGAGGAAAGAGAAGAAACTCAACTCAAAGGCCCAGAAAATATTTTCAGCAAAATCATAGAGGAAAATTTTTCTAACCTAAAGAAGGAGATGCTTATAAAGATACAGGAAGCATACAGAACACCAAATAGATTGCACCAGAAAAGAAAGTCCCCTTGCCACATAATATCAAAACACTAAATATACAGAACAAAGAAAGAACATTAAAAGCTGCAATGGGAAAAGATCAAGTAACATATAAAGGCAGACCTCTTAGAGTTACAGTTGTTTTCTCAATGGAGACTCTAAAAGCTAGAAGAGCCTGGACAGATGTGCTGCAGACTCTAAGAGTCTAAGAGACTACAGATGCTAACCTAGACTACTATAATCAGCAAAACTTTGCATCACAACATATGAAGAAAAATAAGTGCTCCATGATAAAGTCAAATTTAAACAGTATTTATCTACAGATCCAGCCTTACAGAAGGTGCTAGAAGGAAAACTCAAACATAAGGATGTTAACTACACCCAGGAAAACACTGGAAATATGAAACATGAAAGCACAGCAAAATCAAAAGAAGGGAAGCACACTTGTGTGCACGTGCATATGCATACACACACACACACACACACACACACACACACACACACACACACACACACACACCTCCACTAGCACTACCAACAACAAAATAAT